ACCAAAGAGTGTCTCCCGAGCCTCCAGAGAACCCCTGTTCCTGACAATCGCGCAAGTCACAAACATCCATCCATCAGGACCCTGACAGCCTGACAAAAAAGTCATCCGTCCACCGCAATCACTGGGTCCAATGAACGCCGTCGACTCCGAGGTGCACACCTCGACTTGCGACGCCCGGAACGTTTTCTCCGGCCCAGGTACGGCGTCTGCAGGAACTGCATAGCATTTTTGACAGATCCGACGAAGTACCAATCAGTATCTGAAATGCTGCGTTTCCATGGCTTACCGAAATCGCTATTAATATTGTTTTATTTTCCCACACATTGGACCAGGTTGGTAGTGAAATCAAGTCAACCGGCAGCCGGCCTAGCCAAGCAGACGAAGTTTACCACCGTTGCATACCCTATCCGTACGCACATCGCCGGCTTGTCGGTCGGCCAATTCGCCACATTGACCAAGGAATTCCACCTTGACCGGCGCCGATCATAACCCCTTTGCGGCCCGAGATCTTCGTCGCATGTGGCACACATCCTTCAAGACTCGTCACTACCTGCATCTGCTGCACCGCTTCCGCATCATGATGATCTGGGGGTGAGATCATGGTTGGAAATCCGGCCAGCCCCATGTCGCTCAAATCCCAGCACAGGCACAGGGTCCTCGACGCAGCATCCCACCCCTCCAACCACCACACTATTACCACACAACCTGCACGCCCGCCAAGATTTAGTGTGATCCGGATATCTACGACAACCTCCATGGGGGCCAAGGACGAGTTTTGTCAGCTGCGCGGCCCAACACTCGGAAAACACTCCGCAGCGGCAAACATTTTGAACTCTCCAGTTGGACCTTTGGCCAGCCAACCCAGCGACACGAAAGACGATGGTCAATACAATGTCCATTGCTCACCACAACATCGCGTAGCAACTTAGTCACATGATGAGAACCAGCATAACGACATGAGGCCATCGCATTATGCCTGATTATCGTGGTATCTTCCTCCGTTGTTGGATGAATAACAAACGTCGATGACCCCTTCGCACAGTAGCTACTGCACTCTAATGTGCACTACGACAGCGAAGCTGAGAACCGACAGAAGGCCATGAAAGTATGTATGCAGAATATCGTCGGATTACCTCCGGATTACCCAGCCTCACCCCAGCTTGATATATTCCACTACTAAACAGAACATGACGAAACAACTCAGACTTCTACAGTGATAGTAGACTTCAAACTATAAGACGGCGTTCGACAAAGGAATTGTGCTTTCAACACTCCCCTAGTCAACATAGGCGCTTGCCTATTTACGACGTTTCTTACCCGAATCCTGCGAGTCTGCAGAAGTGGACATTCGATCAATGTTTGAATAGAACGGAGACGAGCATCTGAAAACATTGTTTCTGCCTTCTCGCATCTCAACCCATATTCTGCCTAGTGCAAGACTTTGCGCGGCATTGATCTTCTTCAAGTCTCGGTATCAGTATGGCAAGCTGCACATGGCCGTCTCAAGAATCCGCGCGTGCTGATAATAGTTTGACAGCTTCACGCCCACTTCCATCTGGCAGGACCTCGGTGGCAACATACCACAGTTCTCCTCTGGAATTCTTCGCAATATCCCCGCCGGCGGCGAAAAGCGCCATAGCTGTTGCTGAAAACTCGAGACGAAGGTACTCGATTACTACCGATTATCTACATATACCTCAGCAATGCAGCTGTGCCTTAGCCTCCAAATCCTTGTCGAGACAAGCCACATCAGATGCAGCCCCAGCCACGTCTGACCACACCGCGCAATGATTCTCTGCAAATCTCATGCACATCTGACGATGATTTTCGATCGGCCAATTTGGGTTTCCATTCACTCTTCGAAACTCGATGGCTACGTAAGCCTCGAAAGTACTGAGGTGTCGGGGGGCGAATCCCCTGATCTGCCGGCGGTCACCACAAACTACCTTACTCCGTGCCCGTCATGTCGGCATCATCCTCGCTTCCGGCGTCCACCGGTAATAGCTCTGTATTCGGGCGGAGGAAGAAGCCGTGCATACTGGCTCACGCACTGATCACGTACCGACTCGCAGCAATTGGGCCGACGGTGCCATGCCTGCCAACCGTCGCAACAGGGGGTTCAGCTCGTCAGGGCCATCCTGTGTCTTCGTCCCGTCGCCGCCACGAGTGGCAAACAGACCAACTGTTTCAATTACTGCCGAAAGATACGGCGGTGCAGTGGCTTCACGGGTTCGGAGAGGAAATTTCGATGAAGATCCCCCTCCGGAAATGCGTTCTAGATAGGTAGAGCCACAAGCTTATACTAGCTCACAAACTAGTTTGACTTGACGTTAGCTGTCAGCTGGCCTTCTCTACTCCGGGTGCCTGGAGCGACATGCAGCATGTAACTTTGGGTCGCGCGTTTGTGGCAACTAGTGCAGAACTGTACGCATGTCGCGGAGGCCGTCCCGAAGCCATATGTCAGATTCCCATCGGATAAAACGTCAGGTTGAGTAAACTCGCGTATCCTCGTTCAGGCTTCCAATCAGCCTTGAGCATAGAGCTCCGTTGGACGGAAGCTCCGTTATTGGACAATCCGATCAGCCTCGTCTATCAGATGTGTCTTGATTCCCGCGACGGGCGTTCGCGTGCCAGTCGTCCTCGGCACAGGGCCTTGACGTGATTCCGGCGAGACCGTTGGCCGTTGGCCGTTGCCGTGTGGCAATGTGGTATATTGAAGTCGCTCAGCTGACTATCATTGGCTGTCTGGAGCGCCGGTACCGAGATATCTCGCCTCGGTCAGGCGCCCTGCAAGGCGAACATCACCACGTCAACGGTCTGAGCCGAGACCGCAGACGGGAGCGCCCATTCGTCCGTGACCCAAGAAGCTCGCTTGCTCGGGACAGCCCGTAATCTGACAGGAACGGCGGCCACAACCAATAAAGTCTGGATTTCACAATGCCGGGCTCTGGTTGCGGTTCTAGTGCATATCAGGCCCATCTACCTCTGCAAGGGGGAAAAAGGAGTCTGGGCGGCGCTCGCCCGTGGGAACGGCCAGGCTGTGACGAGATTGACTGCCAAAAATGGATACATGTGCGAGGAGGATCCTCTTGGGCGCACACGCAACGGCTCGCTACCGTAGTCGTGGGCAATGCTTCTCGCGGGTCGAAGGTCAACCGAAGTCAAGGTTCTCGGGGACGCAGCGGTTTATGCTGCGTACCTTCCGTATTCGTACTCGTCTCTATCAGCTTGGATATGCCGCGGGATTGCGTGAACCACATGCACTGCACGAGCAGACATTGGCTACTCGTTGGCTGTTGGATCACCGGATAACACGAAGCCGTCCCGAAGCGAGCTCTCGTCGATGCCAGCGGATTCGGGATAGAGATATGCCATTCCATTGCCGCAAAAACATGATCTTCAGGGGTTCTGCCGCATTTATCACAACGACGACCGTTATCTCCTGCTCAGTTGACCGCACACAGAAAGATTGGTTCGTGATAGATGTTGGGTCAGCTAAACCGGTGCCTCGTTAAAATTGCTACATGCCTTGTATTGTACAACGCCTCTAATCGCGAGACCGTCCAGACAACCTTAGTCCTTCTTCAAAGGCAGGAGAATCTCCTCAACACCGTTCTTGGTGATAACCATCATCTGCAGGTGGTCACCGACCTCAATGTGTCTCTCGACAGCCCCGTCAAACGCATCCTTGACCAGGATCTCGGCCTCCTTGCGCTCCAAGGGAACGCGGGGGCGCTCCTGCAGTGCGTGGCCGACACCGCTGCCCGGCACGTACTGGTTCTTGAAGTTGACCTGGTTGTCGAGGAAGGGGGTGATCAAACTGGCGGCAGCACCACCAGCACGGCTCTGCTCTCTCTCGTAGCTGCCGACGGGGTCGTATGAGAAGACGGCACCGACGCCGTCTTCGTCCAGGCCGCCGAGGATGGCGTAGACGTAGTAGGGGAAGAAGCGCTTCTGGTAGAGGATGGTAGACAGACGCTTCGCGCAGGCGGTGACGCTCATGGGCTTGCCGTGGCGGTAGCGGTAGATCTTGCAGATAGTGTCGAGGCGGTCCTTGAGGGCCTCGCCGTCGGCAGCGAAACCGACCACTGAGAGGAGGATGGTGGCGTCTTCTTGTGATGAAGTCGTACCGCCGATCTTGAAGACCTTCGGGGTGTATCTGGAGTTGATGCTGTAGCCGGAGGTGCTACGGGTGTCGCCGGCCATGATGGCGAAGTCGGCGCCGGCGATGGCCAGGGTCGAACCGCCATTGTCGGTGTACCTATCCGCAGAGGGGTCAGTCATTGCTACATCGATTTGGCCCACACCAGCAGCCAGCGATGAATGGACTTCTTACGGGTTGAAGCGGTGCTCTCTGAACTCGCCGTTGGCGCTCTTGGGGGCATCGGAGAAGGAGTAGTTGGGCCCGTTCATAAGGGGATTTTGGCTGAACATGGCAGCCATCTTTGCGGTGTTATCGTGAGAAGGAAAGAGGTATCGTCAAAGTTCGTAAAGGTGATTCGTTTTTTTCTTCGTGGGGAGGCTCCCGTGGATGGGCGTTCGATTCGTTTGTTGGATGCGGGGATGTCGTTGCTCTGATGGAGATCAAGGCTACGACGACGATGATGATTGAGGTTCGGTCCCGGTGCTTGGAGCACGCGTCAAGCTGGCAGCCTTGCCAGCTGGGAAGGTGGGCATGTGCAGGGGTAGCTACCTGCCTTGATGACTAAGAAAGGTAAGGTGGGAGGTGAGTTGGCAGCTGAAGGGTGCCGCAGGTAGGGGAGGTGCGTGCAGGGATGAGTGGCTTTCAGATGAACGGGAAATTTGGGGGGAATTGCTCTACCTAGAGAGGCACGTTAGAGGGACCATCGTCACCGCGCAGCTGCAGCCCAATCGTACTTCTAAAATACCTTATTGTTACTACGGAGATGCTTCACTAAATTAACAAAATCGACAAGTTCTTCAAGGGACATCGACGGAACGCACTCTTTCAAGGGTCTTAGACCCTCCAAACCCTCAACATGACCCGCGACATTCGGCAGCGGGCGCTGGAGAAGATCGCGTCGCTGTCTGCCGCAAGCTCCAAAACATCCTTCGATCGCTCCGATCTTGACCGACTGTGCAAGGCCACTCAACCGCGGGGAGTCAATGGATATTCGGCTAAGCCAGCTCCCACGGGTTTGGGTAGACAACCCATGGTACTGCTGCTTTTCATTGCCCCTTTCTAGATGTCTGCCATTGAAGCAATGTCCAGCTGACATGTGCCCCTATTCCGCAGACTATCCGTGAATTCGAGGTCCTGTTGTCGCTATGCAAGGCCGCTCCTGCTATCCAGACCAGCCAGAGCGCCCAGAAGCTCGTTCATCAACTGATCCCGTACATCCTCGAAGCGCATATTCAGGTCTTTTCACCGTCGCCCTTCTTCCGGAAAATTGAGCCCTCGCCAACCGAGGCGCTTGCGTTCCACGTCACGGCCGCGCTGCTCTCCCTCGGCTCTCACTACGATGACTTGCACGAGTTGGTTTCGGACAATATTTGGGCCTTTGTGAACGCCTGCGACCACGTGGCAGACCGCGTCGTGCCTCCTGGAGCGGACGACGAGGACCCGAACTTGGAGGACGCCATCAGGACAGCCACCATTGCTGTGTCTCTGCTGGGATTCCTCGATGCTGCTTCGGCGCAGGCGGATTTCTGGAGAGCTGGCGGAAGATACTCTCTTATCACCCGGTTCAGGGACATTTTGTCGCAGCCGTTTTTGACTGCCGTTGAAACGGCCTTTTCGACCATCAGGAACTCGCCGGCTACAGACCGGCATGCGAGAGAATGGAAGAGGTACCTGCGCCACTACTCTGCTGCCGGAAGGCCCCTGGGAGCTATTCTTTTGCAAAGGAGCTTTATGTGGCTGGTGGTATCTGGCACTTCGCTGCTCGTCACCGACCCGTCCCTCTTGCGTGGCACCCATATCCTTGACTTGCTCATGTCAGGAGATGGTGCGTACAGGCCTGGCTCTCCTCGTAGCCCCGATGCCGACTTTAGGTCCCTCGATATGTACACTGCCATCGCCATGGAGCAGATGAACTATCTGGAAGCCACCGCTGACTATATTCAACTTGGGTCCTCGTGGCAACAGAGACTTTCCTTCGCCGTTAAGTCAGCCACGCTCATCAGCTACCTCAACTGCGCGCTTATCAACGAAGAGGCAGCTGACGTCGACAATCTAATCGGGTGGTTAGAGGAAACTCTCGCAGATCCCCTTCAGATGGCGGACGAGACGTTGGCGGCTACCGTCCTGAGGTCTCTTGCTTTGGTCTGCAGGATCTCCCGGGGCTATGCTGCGACCGCAAGCAGGCTTCTGCCACGATTCATTGTTCAGAGCGCACCTCATGCTCGCACTGTTGCTGTCGCTTCCAAGAGTTTGGCATTCGTTTTGCAGATGCTCTCCCCAGATGCTGTAATCACGACCCTCTACACGCTTGGCAATGTCTTGAGCCCTGGTTCTGATAGATCTATGGCCAACGGCACCAATGGCGACCTTGGTCTGGATGGAGCCAACGCTCTCTACCCCAACCGCCACTCAACGGGTAGCAGCATCTCTCTTGCGATCACCGGTGAGGAAGAAACTGCCATGGTGTACGGGAATGTGGTTCAGGCAATTTGCGGAATTGCTACTGCTTGCAATGATGAAAAGATCACCGCTCTGGCGCAGTCAATGTTGCTACAAAAGATTGACAAGGTTAACAGCAATGTCGATGCCCAAATCATTAGCGGTGCCGCGGCTCTCGCGTTGAAGGGCGGGCAGCTCGAGTTTCGGTCGTTGCTGAAGGTTTTCTCCAGGATCTGCCACCTCGGGGTTGTTGATCACAAGGATTTCCTTCTGGTTGCTGTAAGTTCGCCCACGCACTGGATGTTCCAGGTTTGCTGACCTCTCCGTAGGTGATGAAAGCACGAACTTACATATCAGCAAACCTGTACAAAGACTCGCCTCTGTACGAGATTTACTGGGAACATCTGCTTGAGAGCATCATCTCTATGGGCGATGTTCATCAGTCCAACCATACGAAGGAGGCTGACGTCCAGTTGGCTGCTCGAGAGATTGCGGAACTGCTGCACCCGCTAGCTGTCCTGATGTCTACCAACGACCTGGCATTCAACTCCATCACTGATGATGAGTCGCACTCCATGATCAGAGATGCATGGTTCAACATTGTTGTCCATGGATTCACCACGCAAACGGACACGGGCAAGAGATACCTGAACGAGCTGCGGGTTATGGCTGTCCACTCACCCCCACTCGTTGCGGAACAACGTGGGGAGCAGATTGAAAGTGATATCGAGCTTAACACCGTCTTACGCCGCGGCATGAGCAACGATAGAGAGACTACGCAGAAGAGACAATTGACCGAGCTGATCCCAAACAAGGCCACGGAGATTAAGGGGTTAAGTTACCGAAAGGTCATCTTCCTGCAAGCAGCCTACTTGGTCGAGAGCCTCCGCGCCGATGCTGGCGATTGCACCCAGGCTCTCTCCTACTTTTTGGAACCCAGCATGCGCAAGGGAGAAGTAAGCGGTACCATGGAGGGCATCGCTGCAGCCGTGGTCGACAAGTACCTGCGCAAAACACTTGGCGGTACTGATGCTACTTTCTCCGCGCAATACGCAGCCAGCCAGCTGGTATCAATCTTCTGCGGCTGCTGTCATCGCATTGAGCGTGTTCAGCAGGCTGCTTTCACTTGTGCCGACCGCATCATCAACCAGGTCCCATCAGCTTTGTGTCACAGATCGTCTCTGTTTGCTCTCCTTGAGCTTCTCTCGCTGATGTGGTCAAGCTGTTTAGAAGCGGAGACTGATCTATACGCACCACGATCCAAGTTTACTTCGACCCTTGGAGACGTGTCTGTTGAGCTGTCGGACGACTACAACTTTCGCCGCCATACTCTGGATGTGCTTAACCGCAAGGCAAAACAATGGGTTTCTAGTGTAATCAGCCTGGCCCCTCTTGATGTCAAGGGTCTTCTCCAGACATACCTGTCGGAGTTCGACGATGAAGGTGCTTATGGCCACATCTCTCTGGGCCGCTCTTTTGCCATCGAGCTCGGCTCTCTCATGCCGTCGACAGATCAAAGACTACAATCTCTTGATCGCGTTGGGGACTGTAACATCAACACTGGCTCCGACTTTGTGGCCCAATACACGACTCGCCAGGAGTACCGATACGGCGAGACACTGCCAGACCGCGGCAACGAGCTGGTGAGCTTTATGCATTTGAATCGTAGGGCGTCTTTCTTGCAGTCATCGGTCTCGTCCGCTAGCGAAAGCGCCAACGCTGCGACCGCACTGGCACACGTCGAGGCACGTATCAAGAGCAAGAAAACTACGGCCCTCAACGAGGTCCGCGACATTTTGCGCCGCGCTGCGGCCTTGCTTTGCCGCAGTGACCGCGATGAGTCCGCTGTTGCGCACCACCTCGTCAGCATTCCTTTCGCCATGTTCACGAAGCAGTCCATCAAGCTTGGTGTTTCCTTGTGGCTAGGAGTTATTAATGAGAACCCGCGCCTTGAGCCGAGACTTCTCACAGAGATTGCTCAGCAGTGGGAGGTGACCATTCACAAGGGGCTTGGCCTCTTCAGCAAGTCAATGTCGTAAGTAGCTCCTGCGCATGATTCCAGCTCTACCTAACACCACCACAGGCACCCTGACCCATTCTTCCTCAAAGAAGAATTCGCGCCCAGTGACCTGGAAGCTCTAGCCAAGCGCAAGCAACAGGTGCACAATTTGCTGTCTCCGCACATGCGTCTGCTACAGTTCTTTGGAAGCCACTTCAATGCAACCCGCCTAGGTAGTCCGGATGTTCAGAGGATCTTCCTGCGCGTTCTCGATGTTACCCTGGATGCCGTGCGAACGTCGACGCCTCATCCGATGGCTCGAGAACTGAGGTTTCAAATCGTGTTGTTCGGACTGAAGGTTCTGCATGTTTGCACCACCATCGGAGCAATCGCCCAGTGGCGACTCAAAGAAAAGATCCTATCGGCAGCCCTCAGTTGGTTCAGGTTCGCGCCACGGTGGTCTTTCGGCAGCAACATTTTGCAACTCAAGACGGAGCTTCGTCTACTGACCGATATTGTGGCCGCGCTTAAGAATGTGTCTTTCATCGGTTCCCATGGCGTTGACAGTATCAAGTCTCTGCAGGCCAAGGAGCAGCTTCTCGTGTTGCTCTTGGAAAGTGAACTGAATCGATTGGCTGTGTGGGTGCATCCGCTCGGCGAGGCTGGCAAGCCATCGGCATCGACTACCAAGGCTGCTATTGAGACTGCTCTGTCTCCTCTTATCAGGGTTGCGTGGGCTGAGGACCCTTCCATTGCCATTGAGCTTGTCACTCGATTCCCTTACCCTCGTGTCCAGCGCGAGGTGAGATGGTTGCTCATCAACTTCCCTCAGAAGGCCATTTCTGAACCTGAGGGCTTGCCAATTCTATTGGGCGGCTCCCTTCCGAGCGACGTGAGCTTCCAGTTGAAGGTAAGTACCGAACTGTCACTGTGTCTTCGCCGCTAATTGTCGCAGTATTTGTTGTTCTGGTCGCCGGTGAACCCCATCACAGCTGCAACATACTTCCTTCCCGCCTATCGGAACCATCCGTTCCTTATTCAATATGCCATGAGGGCGCTAGAAAGCCACTCGAGCGATGTCACCTTCTTCTACGTTCCGCAAATCGTCCAGACCCTGCGATACGACGCATTGGGCTACGTTGAACGGTACATCCTAGAAACCGCACAGTTCTCGCAATTGTTCGCCCATCAAATTATCTGGAACATGAAGGCCAACGCCTACAAGGATGACGACGCGACAATCGTGAGTTACCTGCAGTCGATAGTTCAAAGACAGCGCTAACCATCTGAAAGCCCGACGCTATCAAGCCCACGCTTGACAAGGTTATGGAGAAAATGGTCTCGAGCTTCTCTGAAGTTGACAAGACCTTTTACGAGCGCGAGTTTGCTTTCTTTGACGAGGTCACAGGCATCTCGGGTAAGTTGAAGCCCTACGTCGGTAGGCCGAAGCCGGAGAAGGCGCAGAAGATTGAGGAGGAGCTACGCAAGATCAAGGTCGAAGTTGGTGTTTACCTCCCGAGTAACCCCGACGGTGTCGTCATCGGTATCGATCGAAAGTCAGGCAAGCCTTTGCAGAGTCACGCAAAGGCGCCGTATATGGCCACCTTCCGCATCAAAAAGGCCAAGGGTGGCCTTGAAGAAGTCAACGAGATGCTGGAGGAGGTGCACAAGAAGGATCAGCAGCCATCTGAGGCCACTATCGAGGTGTGGCAATCCGCCATTTTCAAAGTCGGCGACGACTGCAGACAGGACGTTCTTGCACTGCAGATGATTGCCGCCTTCCGAGGCATCTTCCACAACGTTGGTCTGGATGTATATGTAAACCCGTATCGTGTTACGGCGACAGCTCCCGGTTGCGGTGTCATCGACGTCCTGCCCAACTCTGTTTCTCGCGACATGCTGGGGCGAGAGGCCGTCAACGGTCTCTACGACTACTTCATTTCCAAGTATGGGAACGAGGACTCCCTTCGCTTCCAGCAGGCGCGCAGCAACTTCGTCAAGAGTATGGCGGCCTACTCCATCATCTCGTTCCTCCTGCAGTTCAAGGACAGACACAACGGCAACATCATGATCGACGACGCTGGCCACATCCTGCACATCGACTTCGGCTTCTGCTTCGATATCGCGCCCGGTGGCATCAAGTTTGAGCGCGCGCCGTTCAAGTTGACGACGGAGATGTTGGCGGTCATGGGCGGCAGCCCTCACCACCAGTCCTTCAAGTGGTTCGAGGAACTGTGCGTCAAGGCATTCCTCGCATCACGACAGCATTGCGAGAAGCTCAGCCAGATCGTGCTGTTGATGATGGACTCTGGTCTGCCGTGCTTCAAGCCCGAGAGTGTGCAGCACTTCAAGGAGCGTTTCGTACTGGAGCGCAGCGAGCGCGAGGCGGCAGACTTCGTCAAGGACTTGATCCGCAGGAGTGCCAACAGCTACTCGACGGGCGTTTACGACCAGTTCCAGCTCCTGACCAACGGCATCCCGTACTGAGGAACGCAAAAGGCGAGACTGTGGGCTGCGCTTTTGTACAACTTACGGTACCCCCCGTTGGCATTGTATGCTGCCTTTCTTTCGCTCGGTGTTTCCAGATACTGTTACAGTCCCGCACTTGTGGCGGTTTCTATGTCTTCTCTTCAATCCTACACTGCTATTGTACAACGGACAATGTGCGCCACTACCGCACCGCTAGCCCAGCGCACACACGCTGATAATAAGACCCTCCTTCCTTCCGTGGAGATTTGTTTTGTTTTCGCCTGCGCCTCTCCTGATTCGTGTTGTGAAACTTGTGCCCAGGGTGTAAGCCAGATAGAAACCCGAGTTAAAAAACCGAAATGTAACCCCCTCGCTTGAGAATATGCAAGATCCACCCAAATGCTGCCCCTTTTTTGTGTTTTACATGATCCAGCCTCTTACCACTTTTTTTTCCCTTCTCTTTCTCTGGTTGAGTTGTTTTACCTTTTAAACTCCCGGTGCTGCTGCCTCCACTCTTCCGTCCTCGTCATCCTCTCCCGCCCCCCCCCGTCCCCGAGATGATCTGCAGTGAAATTGTCCGATACAAACCGAACGACAATGCCCACAGCTGCTGGCTGGCTGTGATTGTTGAGTACATGACAATTATTGAGTAATGTGCGTGTCGACGTTGTAAGTCGCATAGTCCACGTGCACGAAGGCGCGGTCGACGATGGGCACCGATTCGAGGAAGTACGTCAGCACCTCGCTGAGGTCGTGGCTGTCCTTGAGAGGCATGTTGGCAGAGAGAACGATGTCGACCTCGACGAAGAGCTTGTCGCCAGCGTGATAGGCGCGCAGATTTTGGATCTGCTTGATGGATGTGGCGAAGCGCATGGTGAGGTAAAGCACTATTTGAGTCGACAGGTCAGTTCCTCAGTCTTCAAATTGCATTTTCTTCAGGGCTCGGTGTTCCAAGCCCAGTGAGCAGGCTGCGGCTACCGCCCACATATCCGAGATCTCCAGATGCGGCAGCGGGCAGTCGCAAGGGAAAGCGCGTGAATGGGAAAATAAATCAAGCAAAAAATAAGAGTACGATGACATGGGTGCAGAATAACAGGGTCCAATTATAGCAACTGTGGGGAGACGAAACGGTAGGGGTGATGAAGCTAGGGGGGTTATGCAGGGAAGTGTGAAGGAAAAAGATAGGGAATACGCACGGAGGTTTCTCTCATCCGAAGTCGCCGAGAAGCCCGTCAGGTTTCGAACATGATGCGCCGAGGTCTGGCTCCAATTGACAATCACGACAAAGGAGAGCAAGAGACCGCCGAGAGCGTCGAGCCACCAGATCTTGGCGTAGAAGCCGACGATTGGGAAAAGGATGGAGCCGGTGTTGAAGATGACATCCGTCATTGCATCGTCCGCCCTGCACAAAAGTGTTAGCTACCCCGGTTCTCTCATGTGTCGATCAGGAGGCGGCAACGCAAACGGCGTTGCGACGAATGAGGGGGCGACGGGAGAGCACTGCAACTTACAAGGCTCGAACACTGGAGTTCTTGATGAGACGGCACCACAGCCAGCACAGGCCCTTGATGACGACGGTTCCGACCATGATGGCAATGGCCGGAATGCCTCTGTTGTTGACCCGGTAAGCGACTGCACGATGATGGAGACAAACTGGAGAAGAGTAGCAACGGGATGCGACTTACAGCTGGATGATTTCGTGTTCAGGAGACATGAGGCGCTGGATGGCCTCGAGGGCGACCTGGCAGAACGAGGTGACCATGACGATGGAGAAGACCAAAACGCCAAGAGGCTCGAGACTGTAGCGAGTCAGCGTGCGGCCCCGGAATGTAACGCGGAGGCGAACACAGAACAAAAACAAAGGGAATCATGAGAGATTATGAGACTTACCGCTGTCTACCAACGGGGTAAGAGTGTTGATCATTTTGACTGGCGGCGATGAGCCTGGTTGTTGTCCACACAATGGCGGTGCTGAGGAAATCGAGGACGGCATCGACCAAACTGGCGAGAACGGAGACGGACGGGACGGAGAAGACGACAATGATCTTTCCCAGCAACAAGAAGCCGTTGGCGATGAAGTTGACCCAGATAGCAAGAGTGACGATGGGGTCGCTGCTGTCGATATCGCCGTCCTCGAGCCAGGGGATTTCGGGCTTAGGAGCGTCGGGGTCTTCGGCTAAACCTTCCTCCTCGTCGTGGCCGTTAAGCGTCAGGAGTGGGGTGGACTCGGTGGGCCGAAAAATGTCCTTGGGCGTGCGTTTTACCTTTTGCTGAATGCTGTTTGCCGAACTGCTATGCTCCGTGCTGCTGTTTGGGACCGAAGCAGTGCTGCCATAGCCGGGGCCGCCGCGCGAGGGAGGAGAGGTAGGAGTTGGCGATTCTTCGGTGATTGTTTGGGGCACGTCAACCGGGCGGTAGGCTGAGGCGTCCAGAGCTTGGTGATACTCGTTGAGTAGGTCGTGGGGCACCGATGAGTCCAGGAGCTGGTCGATGAAGAGGTACATGCGAATGAGGTCGTTGTTTCTCTCGTAGTACTCGCGTCTTGAACAATTGGTACTCTCGTCAGCTTTACGGGTCCCGACTGTGTTTCGATGTCTTGGAAATCGCTCTCGGTGGAATGATTGCTGGGTGTCGAAGCAGGCTCAGGGTGGGTGAGGTGGTTTGGGCGGCGCATTGGCAGCGACATGACGCATCATCGCACACACAGCAACTCACATAGGCTTTGACATTTTCTGAAGCTCGGCCTCGGTCTTCCAGTAGCGTTCCCATTGATAGCGTGGATTGCTGTTTCCGATCAGGCGCATACTTCTCATCTGAGGGCCGAAGATGATCTCGCTGAGGCGGCGCTCCTCGGCTGCGGAGCGGCGGTGGTCGTCGTCCGAGTCTCTGTGCAGGAAGCCCAGCAGCGACTGGTTCTCGAGGGCAGCTTCTTCGTCATCGTGGTGGAGGCCAGGGCTCTTCAGCGACTCGCGCAGTGTGGCATTGGATCGATTCCTGATGAGGCTGACGAGGGCGCCATTGCCTCTGGTGACCAAAAGAGAGGGATCGTGGTCCGGGTTGAGAACTGAAGGACGCTTGAATGAGCCGACTCGAGGGCTGCCCGAGGGGTGAGGGTGAGGGTGAGGGTGAGGTTGGTGCTGTGGCGAGCTCATCTTGGCATTTGCGGCCGCGATTGAGTAAGAATGACGGCGGGAACTAGTTGGCGATGGGAAATTGAGTGGATAAGAAGGACAGTACGGACAGAAATGAGAAGGAAGAAGAGAGAAGGAAGGGAGAAAAGAGAAATTCTAGCCGGCGGTGCGGTCGGCGAGGGAGGAAAAGCCAAGATAATTAATAGATGAGATTGATAATCTCGTTGGGGAGACGCGCCGCGATGGTTCAAGATGGGACCCGGAGGGTCTTTTTGGGGTCTGAGAGAGAAGGAGAAACGAGAGCCGAGAGAGGTCCACAGGTGCTGTACTTAGGTAGGTAGTACTTGGTAAGAATGGGAGAGAGCTCGCCTCGCCTAGAGCTGCCTGAAGCTGGCCGGGGATGTGATTCGACGAGATGGAGAACGCTTGGGGATCTCGACGCCACGGGCGTTGGCAGACCCGACTAATGTTGTATCGGAGGAGTGGGCTGCTGGCGTTTTAAGCTGCAGGACCAAGTCGTCTCTCTTTCTCTCTTTCTCTCTCTCTACCAATTTCCATTTCCATTTCCATTCCTTTAAACCACTTCACCTCAACGAACCTTACCTACCTTACTACGGTAGTCAAGGTAACCTTCAGCTACTCCTGATACCACTCTTCACTGCTTCACTGCTACACATCATGCTGGGGGCTCACTCCAAACTCGGGTTCTTGGTCAAGTCCTTGGCTCCATTTCCCGTTTCCCATTCCAGCTGAAGCTCCAAAATATCCCCAGTCCAAGACCCTCTCACTTCATAAATCGCCCCAGTCCCTCACCTCGCGCCAAGTTGCCTTTTAAGCCGGTGTCGGCCCTCCGCAATGTCCACCGATGAATGAGCCTGTGTGTGCATCCATGATCCAATCCGTCCGGCCTCCAGAGACTCAAAAAGAATGTTCGGCAAAGCATCCAACGCCAACATCAGCCGGGTTTGGCGTGCTGTAGCCTATAATAACGCCCCAATCTGCCCATGTGTCTGTCTAATGGTGCCTTGGTGCTGAGCTCAGACTGGGTTGGACCTTTGAGCTGCCTGGTTTTGCGACTTCATCGCATAACTTCCGCCAGCGCCAGTGCCCACACGCTCTTGCTTGGCCTTTCCAAAACCCGGCTGCGATTGCACCGCAAGTTGCTGAGAACGGTCCTCGAACTCGTCACAACCGCCGCCGTGTCTGCAACCTGGAACCTGCCCATCTCAATTCGGAAGTTGAACTGACTAAGTTGTCCGATTTTCGAATACACAAATTCAAAGACGGAAGCTCTACTCGAGCGAGCCAAGATGAGATCAAACAGCAACTGTTTGCTTTCCGGTCCTCTTTTCCCATACCTTTCGTACTTCGTGACACTCTTGGAAGGGGCGCAGCAAGCCGGCAACGACAATCAGCGCTGGATGAGTCTCAAGTGAAAAAACCCGCCGTCTCGACTGTGAACACAGCATAATGTAAGAGCGCCATTGGATACCTAGGATGGGGTAGCACAGCTTGCCTTGCCATTCTCGGGACGACCCCTGCGAAGGGAAGGGAGACCATGCACAATTATTTGTTTCTTTGAACTTGACAAAGCCGGGTTTCCAAGACTAAATGCAACGTCGCAAACACTTGATCAATCTTGTCAACTTCATCCTCGACTCAATCTGCCCCTCGGTCACTATTGGCCTCGTTGTGACTGTCTGTAATTCTTCTTCTGTGACCCCCCTGCCGGCGACCTGCAGAAAGCAGCAGAGCCTCAATTGATCCAGCAACTTTTGGCGAAGTCGTCATCTGCTTGTGCCCCTCCGCCGGCTAAGACTCCCACACACACTGCCAACTCTTCTTCTGCGCAAACACTGCACGGTGACCCGCTTCGGCATTGCTTACTTCTCCGGCTCACATTCGCCACGGAATTCCGAGCCGATCAAGCTTGCGCTACTTCATCGGCCGGAAATCTTGGGACGCGGCTGCTGTTGCGCCCTCCAACTCACGGAGCCGACTGCGAATGGCGTCAATAACATGACGACTCCGTCATATCCATCGTCAAACAAGAAACACCGGAGATGGGCCACCTCAGCCGTTAACCGGCCAAGGTGCAATTGCTAGGAATCAAATATCAATTAATTCGTCAAATTCTCATATCCCGCAGCTTCTTCGCCACGGCATGGAAGAACCACTCCTGCAGTTTGAGCCCAGACCTTGATGCATCGGCTCCGTATATGGGAATCTGAGAGTTGTCTGGTCCTGCGAGGCATGACTTGACTATCTCTGCCACCACATCTCCCATGTGTCCTCTCAGGTTGTCATCGAATCTTCCGCTAAGCAGAGTCTCTCGGACTCCTGCTGTTTCACTGGGAAGCCTCACCCGACGTTCCTCAAACCCAAGCACAACGTCAACAGAATTCCAACAGGCAATCTCCATCATGATGATGCCGAGGGAAGAAATGCCATGATGCTTCTTAAAGCCGAATCCATGGGCGTCATCTCTAGGGCCGCCCTGCACCGCGGGATGCCGGTACACATCCTCGGCTCTGATATGAGGAGGAGCCTCAGACATGAAGTCGGCATTTTCTGGACGTGAATAGTCGAAGCGAGAGAGAAACGGTTGCGCGCAATCCACCGCTGTGTCCGCATCGCGGGAGAACAATATGCTCTGGCTCCGAAGACCCTTGTGTAGCCAGTTGACAGCGTGCAGTCTCTCAAGCCTGTCGGCCAGAATCTTGATCAGCTGTAAGCGAGCGCTGAGACGCCGTATATGCGTCTTCGCGTAAGAGTTGTACCATAGCTTCGAATCGATTCGCAACCGTGGAATCGGATCTCCGTATACCCATGAGTTGTCGACGCGGCTCCGAGCTCTTCCACTCAACCCACACCCGCTTTCACGAATCGAAGGCGGGCTTATACCAAGCCGACCATCTTTGCGAGTGAAGAAGCGGGCCTGACTCGACGAGTTGCAGCTCGGACGCTCCAATTTCTGTCGGGCGAGGACGCCTTTCACTGTTCTTCAGGTTGAGGTTCTGTCGTAGCGTATCTATCGTCTAGCGACTTAGAGTCGATTGCCGACATCAACCATTTGACTTGGGCCAGCCAGGCGAGTTGCACGTCATATAACGTCTCATACGATACCACTGATGAAATTGATCTGGCGATCGGAACGGATGTTGTATCTCAAAGCACTTCCCACAGGGTTTTTTTCGAACGAATTGACAAAAAGGACAAAACCCCTAACACAACGATTTGACAAAGGTCATCAATTTTATAATTAAGCTGCATCACATAATAGCTGGTCCGTATTTGTTATGTTCCAAGTGCCTAACGTTGCTAGTAACTGAGGAGCTCAGCCAGATAGTCTTTCAAGCTTAACAATCTGCCTAGGATCTATTCGATCATCATGGATCAGCGCCTACAGTCCCGGAGGAGCCAACTGATACAAATATACATCCAGAACCCATCCGAGGAAGCCAGCAAGATGCTTGTGGGCACACTTCATATGGGGATGGAGACTCAGACGCAACTCTCACAGAATCTCCCAGCCCTCGAAAGATGGCATACGCTCTTACAAAGGCCGACATACCAGCTCCAAAGGTGAGAGTCGCAGACGAAATCGAGGTTTCCAAACCAGCGAAGAAAAACACCGAAGCCTCTATTCGCTTCGCTGGGCTTCCTCAGGACCGTAGACCCGAACCCACAAATCACAAGGAGGATGTTTCCGACGACGAAGAGGAGATATCAAAAGATGCAGAGTTCATCCTCCCGGAACCGATCAAACCTCTCCCGTTCCTTCACCGCGATTGTCTGCCCCTGCCTCGCGCGTCGTTGGTACCATCCTACATCTTGGCGGGAACAAATCATTTCTCTCGGAACGAGCTCGAAGACTCGGCCCTTAGCCCCGGGACGACGAATGTCTTCGTGTACGGACGTCTGATGTTCCCATCCGTGCTGCTTGCCATTGCTGCCCAGTTCACGACCGCTGCTTACTTCCCTGGCCTCCAGCGCCGCGTCAAATCTTCCTCGGACGATTGGAGGGAGGCGAATCTTTCCATTCAGAGAGCCAGCGAAACCATGACACTGGCAAGACTACGAGGATATGACCGGTGGCAGCCAAGAGGTCTACAGTGTGCCGTCCTCCAGAAGTCCAAATGTACAAAGGAGATATTGAGCAAGCCTCGACTCGAGAACATGGCACAACTCCATCGACCTGGTGAGGTTGTCGGCCTCCTCCTCGTTGGGATCAAGAAAGAGGCAGTCCAATATCTTGACTTGCTCTTTGCCCATGACGAAGCGAACCTGGAAGAAATGAGAGCACGAAAAAGAGAAGAATAATCGCTCGCGACACGCATGCACATCTCCTTCGCCCTCGTGGGAGATTTTATGTGCAGTGTTGTCCTGACAGGAAACATGGATGAATTGTAGAGCCTCCTGGATCACGGGTGGAACCCTGACGCGCCCTGCCGCTACTACGGCAACGTTCTACAAGCACTCGGGAATGTCTTCGTGCCGCACCCAATCCACGGCGATCCCCTCTACCAATCGAACGGCCAGTCGGACTACGCCATGGCGGAGATGCTTCTGGAGCATGCTGCCTGGCTCACCGAGGACTGGGGCGAAATCTGCGACCTGGCCAACGAGAAACAACGACAGCGAGATACGGAGTCTGCTGCGACAGTACGATGTCCGGGAAATCCACACGAGATCTCTTCCTGCGCCCGCCAAGCCTCGGAGTTCCGGCGAACTCGATCAGTCTCTTTCATACTCGAAGATCGTGGCCGCCGGCTTACAGAAGGGCATCGCAGTCCACCCAGCTTCTGGTAGTTGGAAAGGACTCAAGGGCGTCGCCGTGACAGTTGCGGCACTCAACGCGGGAGCGCCTATTGGCATTCTCCCCTTGATGAGGTCGGTAGTTGGTCCAGTCAGGGCATTGATAGACGAGTTGCGCCGAATCGATGAGGACCAGGAACGCGATCGTCAGCTGGATATTGATATCGGAAAGTTAAAAATTGATGTCGACGCGGCGGAGAACTCTCACGAAACATCTGGTAAGCCGACAGGTTCGAGATCTAGGTCCAGAATCACTTATCGATGAGCAACTCGGATTTGAGCCAAAGGGTGAGGCCAGCTGCTGAAGCCTTAGCTAGACAGAAGTGGCAAACACGATCGTTTGATAATATGCGTCGATTTTGCACTGTCGTAATATCGTCCCCTGACCTATGTCTTGAATTGACCTTGACGCATCCCCTTGCCCCATTTCCTTCTCTGGGGCGCAATGGAGAGACGATTTAGAGGCCAGCCAGCAGGGTAGGTGGCTGAGCAGCAAGTAGAGAAAGTTGGTCGTTCAGGGATGAGACATTTCAATCATCACCCTAGCTAGACGCCTCAAGCCGGCATGACTTGAGCCTGCAGCCACAGAATGGGGCTGGTTCATAAGCCTCTATATCCTTCTCACTCAGTGCCTTGGCATTTCCCATGCCATAATCATCGAGTGTCATAAGGGTTCGTAATGTCCTTTTCGGACTTCCTCCGCATTTAAGACCGCCGTTACCTCTTTACTCCTTCTTGGCCAGGATCTCCCGAGAAACTTGAGCGGTGGCACGAACGATCAATTGGTGCTCGACTTGGTGCATTCTAGGCACCATCAGTATATTACACAGCTCGCTTTGGTGGGAAAACTTACCTCTCCTCGAGATCTTCCAGCTTGTCGCTTGGGAGCACCTCAACCTCCTGAACCAGGATTGGCTCTCCGCGGTCAACTTGGGCGATGACATAATGAATCCTGCGAGTCCCTAGGTCAGAATACTGCAACTCGCGTAGGAAAACTACTGATGATGCTTACATGGCGCCAGTTCGGTTGTTCTCCAACTTGCCGGCCTGAAAGTCTTCGTACGCTCTACCGATACTTCAAAGAAGGTCAGTATCCGAGGATGTTGAGGAAGCACCTGGCGGAGAAGACTCACGCGTTTGCACCGTCGTAGCAGCCTTCAAATCGCGCATTAGTATTTGAGAGGTCTCGCTTGCGACAGTTTAGACAGATCGATGGAGAATAGGAAATGACATACCTGGCTTCGCCGGATGGAGATTGATCACTTTCACCCCTGCTGCGGCGAGAGGAGTGAGGAAAGGTTCGCTGAAGACGCTATAGAATGCATGTGAGTACTACGAAATCGACGAGCGTTGAATTTGAACTGTGCGACATACTGCACTAGATCCTAGTCAGTATCCGTGGTGTTCATAGAGTTCCAATTAAACTTACTCCAGCCTGCGAGCACGATGAGGTCAGGCTTGTCTTGGAGAATCTTCTCAGCCAACGCCGCATCGTAGCGAGCGCGGCCCTCTTTCACCTTGGAAGCATCGGTCTCGCCCTTGGCACAGAAACCATTCGATACGAGATTGAAGTACTCATGAGGAATAGCCGCCTTCTGGGCTCTTTGGATTGCTAAAGAGAAGGAATCCCATGAGCACCGCGATCGCAACGTCACTGAGTGTGATCTTCAACTCACCAACGGCCTTGGCTCTGTTCACGAAAAGCTTGACAATTTTGCAGTCGGTGATCCTGCCGTCTTCTAAACCGTCAATCAAGGCTTGGAAGTTGGAGCCGGACCCCGACGCCAGGACCGTGATGCGGCAGACCTTGCCGTCGTCGGCAGCCATAGTGGGCTGATTGTGAGGTGAACTGAGAGTTTGTAGATGTACACCACTCCACGGTTACTCTTCCTGGTCGAAGACTTGAATATCGACTATGGATAAGAAGGGCGGTAATAGAGGTGGTGGGGAGCAATCGATGCAATGTATCTAGAAGTCGTTGCAAAAAGCTGATCGCGGAGGAGTGTAGTCGATAGAAAAAAAATGCCGGAGGGGAAGGCGGGGCCAGAGTTGGCGGGGGCGGGGCATGGGCCGCCAGTGAAGTTGGGCGGCCGGTCCGCTCGAAGACCCCGGTGATGCCGTGGATGGCGCCTTGAGGTTGCCTCGCCTTCTGAACCAATAGGGCAGGTTGGCAAACTCAGAGTATTTTACGCAAAACGATCTCAGCTCATCCGAAATATTCAAGAGCTGACCGGGAGAGTGGGCAGCTGATTGGGTGATCAGGTTGCGTATGAGGCAGTTCATTGGCCGAGTCGCAGTTGCGCATCCATTCGGAGGGCTCTCCGTGGGCTGCAAGCTACTGGGCACCGCGGGGGGAAGATGCGGCCGGGAGTAGAGTACGACGAGACGGAGACATCCGCTCCGATGTCCTCCAAGGCACAACATGACATGTGGTGGGATAGAGACGAAACTTTTCGCCCATTGGATGCTGTACGTATCTTATTGCGTGACGATTCACAGATATGCGAATGACAGCTCCGGTAGGACATGTGGGCAAGCGACCAGAACGAAGACGAAGTGTATGTCCATGACGATAAGTGGGAGTGACTGGGGCGGAAACAACTCTCCTGGCCAGCAGTGACTACCTCACACGTCTCATTGACGATTGAGCATCCGCAATCGGGGAATTTGAGAGACCACGAATGTGATATCGGAGAAGTGTTAATACCAGAGAATTGAAAAGAATCGAGGAAAACAGAAGATGGAGCCGCGCCCATACGAGGCCCATAATACTAACGGCGGATGGGGCCGGATTGTCCAATATCCCAAAATCGTCCAAGCCCAGCCCAGCTTAGTCCATTACTGTGCCGTACCAAAAGCTCCAGATTGTTCGAGAGGAATCAATATTCCCACTTGTGTCGTACCGGGACAATGTACTGACATGAGCTGGAGCTGAGGTCTATGGCCGTAAAATGAGAAGAAGAGAAGCGGAGAAAACGGGAAAGTTGACTGCTTGCGATGCTCGCAGAAACATGGACACTTTGATATACAAGCATGTAATCTTACACGTATTTCAGATATTGGACAAGGCATTTCACTTCTTACCTCTTCTGTCGAGCGGCAGACTTATACCGCTTGAATCCGCTAGTATTCATCGACCGAGCTCTTGTATTTCCATTCTTGAAATGTGTGCTTGGCTACCGGCTCCGTTTGCTCCAGACAGGGGTCGAGCGTTGGAGAGGCGAGAGGTTAGCTTCTGCACGCATCCGTACCACACCTCAGGCTCAATGGGCTCTAGACTCAGGCACAGCGCACATCGCCCATCGCGTCACCAGGGGTTCCGTCCATATAGAGCCAACCACAGACTATCAACGCACTATGATCGGATCTGTGATCTCCGACCCTTGCAAAGAGCAGCGCACGAGGGCGCCAAAGTCCCGACGCGAGTGGCCGCCCTCGACAGTCAATAGCGGACAACAATACGACGCCGTTTGACCGTCCAGTCGGTCAGGGGAAAGCTGCGGAAGCCTGGAGTCGTTGCTCCTGGACGAGCTGGGCGGCAAGCAAGCGGATGCGACAAGACGGACCAAAGCCAACACGGTTGACATCAGCGATATGAGTTTTCCTCTTTGAGCTTGGAGCCAGCTGCTCTGCCCTGGAACTGAGGTTGCAGCGCAGCCAGAAAGTATGGAGCATTGTGTCCGTCTGCTATCGACGAGGGTTCGTCGAGTTTTTCCTTGGCCACGGTCCCAAAGAAATGCCATGTTCGGGTTGAAGCCGACGCGACGGATGATAACCAGAACGGGTCGACGTTTGTTCGTTCTCCGATTGATGTACCGAAGTTCGATTAATTGGTTGTTTTGTGGAAGGGAAAAGTGCAGGCCGCTCCCCGTCTCCAGTGTCGATTCCACGCCATCCGGTCTAGTCTGTCTGCAGACAACCCAATGTGCGTTGCCGTGGATAACTGCAGTTTGCAGCGGGTGAACGGACAAAATCCCTACCTACACCTACAGCCCTTGCTCGGCGGATGGATACAGCGTGTGTGTCCATGTCCGAGGTCAAAGCAGTTTGCAGACGAAAATCACGTCAGTTCAGTTGTCCTGGTCAGGCCATGGCACATGCCGCTTGACAGGCCGCCGTCGCTGGAAGGGCATCAGTGACTGTTTTGTTTACCTACTTGTTGGATCAGTTTCGTGGAAAAAACACGCGTAGACTACTAGACCGAGACAGGCTTTGAGCATCGGCATCGGCAGTCAGTCACGTACAGTGTCTTGTGCTTGGATACCTGTCCCCGCCGTACCCAGCTTGACGACGTGTCGGGGGTTGACTTGGTGTCAGACTTTTTTTTTTTTGCTTCTTGCAGGATTTTTTCCCTCTTCGTTCGTTCTGATTTGAAGGCGCAAATGGACAATGTGCAATACGAGGCAGTGTGCTGCTCCAAATAGAAATCGAGAACGATTGACAGTGATTTCCTTGTTGGCAAGTGGAGAGTAGGGTGTCGCTCCGTTCCAGGTACAGTACAGTGCCCGTAGGGTAGGTAGGTACCTAGAGCGCGTTGGAGACTCCCCCGCCGTCTTAGGTAATCAGCCCAGTACCGGTACGGATGCAGGTCGGGTGCCAGTGCCAGCCAGTGCAGGGGCTGGGCTGGAATTGATGAGTCGCCGGGACGTTCCTTCCCACATGCTTTCTTTCCGTCCGTCCATTTTTCTATGAATATCCACCTCATGAGATGAGACAGGCGCCGAAGCAACAGAACACAGATTCCTGTCTTCCATCAACCCGACACCTGAAGCAAAGCACCTTCCAGCAACGGAACATGATTCATTTCTGGAAACCTGAGGCCCTAGTAATCACATACTCGGATTAGAAGCAGAGACAAAAGACACAGCCAGTTGGACGTTGCAGTTGTGAGGTTTCCGGTCCACAAGTCCATATCTCCATCATGCTCGCCCAGTTAGGTACCTACCTACTATGTACCTACGGATACTCAGAGCACGTCAACACTCCCCAAAGGAGCCACTGTTCAAGCTTCCAGGATTGTCGTCGTCGTCGGGGGGCCTCCTGGGGCTACGAGCAAGTAGCGTCGCGCTAGAAGTCCCCCCTTGGGATTCGTTCTGCGCTCTCGTCTGATTCGCATTTCGCGTTTGGCCGAGTGGTGGACAAGATTGTAAAGTACAAGCGCCTGGGCATCTTTTTCATCCGTCCTGACTCCTGCTATGAGCTCCTGAGCATCTGATCTCAGAAACTGGTCTAACTTGGGTTTCGAGAGTAAGGTATCAGAACGGTGCAAATGGCAAGCCAGCGCCGCAGTGCCGGTATGCATGCAACATTGTCAGCAGCAAAGAAGACCTACGGATACATTGCAACAACAGTCTTGTTGCGTGATTGTAGCAGATTCCAAGGTAAAAGATACCTTACTAATCATATTCCTACCCAGCAAACTGTCAATACCTACCCAAGTAAGGTAAGGTACTTTAGGTACCTAGGTAGGTACGGATAGGTACTCCGTAGGTAGGCACTTTGCAGACCCAGCCCCTCCACCCTGAGCCTCCAGCCTTTTTTTCCCACCTTCTCTGATCTGAGGTGACTTCAATGTTGCTTCTTTCTCAATCCACACCCCTTGAATTCGGCCTCCCACTCTATAATGCAGCGAATCGGCATCCGACTTGTCGCCCACACGGCCTCGATGCGTCGTTTCTACGGCCCAGAGACCAAATTCTCGCTGAAGATGCAGTATGTGGCTGCCGACGAACGACGTTCCATCTCCACTTCCAATTCCGCGTCAACGGCCATCGCCCGTCACCCGTCACCCGTCACGGTCTTGCGCATACCGGCACTACACCACCTTGCCCCGGATCGAGATCATCAAAGATGCGACCAGGAACATCAAAAGAACAAACTCCATCCCACCGCTGTCCTCGGGCTGGGCATCTTTGGTTAAATCGCCGTCTCCGACCCAGACGCTGCATTTCGGAGCGGAAACCCGGGGCAGATGTGCCCGCCGCTCGGCCCTGCTGAACATGCCGCTGTTCAATTGATATCGGCCTGACGACAGCGACGCATTTTCGTCCTGGTCTTGCTGTACATCCGGTGCCCCAGAAACCAAACCTCCGCGACCGCTGGATACGACCGAGCCCGGGTCTTACCACCTCTGACTACTCTCGTCTCCTCGTGGCCAGCGAGGAGATATGCTTCTCGGACCTCGTCCTATGCGACGTGTTGGCCGACGTCTGTCGCTCATTGTCTCTTCCATCAGCCCCGTCGCCATGGAAGACACTCGCATCCTCTCTTGGCGGGCTAATGCCGTGACGGGCTTGACACACAATAGCATCTGAACAACATCACTGGACGTCTCAGAGCATGTAAAGCTACGGCCTCAGCTACGGCTCTCGGCTCTTGGTATCCAGAACACGATGGCGACATTCTGCGCCGGGGGCATCTGCAAAAAGCCTCAAGAGTGGCTGTCATCCAGCATCGCAAGTTCGCCAACTGTCCAGACGCAACCAGCCATCCATTTGAATACGTCTCTGAAGCAGCCAAGGCGACCTCGGGCAGGGCGCGCATCCCACCTTGCCCGCGTACCAAAAGAAACTATGAGACATGGCACAGGTCAAACGGACGCGGTCGCTACTGGCCGCCGTTATTCTTGTTAGTACGGCCAAGTAGTCTCGATTCCTGACCATCCTCCAGCGTCTTCAATCTCGTTGAATGCGGCGGCTCCGAGGTCCAATTTAACAATTGAAAAACGCCCGTCCTCGCTACCGATGTTGCCGCCCGTACGAGGTCTAGGCTTCCTGACGGACCAGGATGCCCGCCCTCGCCCTACACGCTGCGTGGCCCACGTCCACGCTACTTGCGTCGAAATGCTTCCTTCCAGAGTCAAATCCGCCCGATGTAATCCGTGAACGCACGTTGTTCTTCTGGATTCTTTCTTGGTTTCGTCCCATGACACCGCCGAAGCTTGCTGTTATCTGCTGAACGCTTCAGGTTGCGCAGTTCAGCCGATGTCGAGGCCTCCTGGAATGGCCAACGGACGAAGGCTTGCAGGACGGGAGGCTGGGTAGGGTGACCCGGTGCAGCCAGCAGCTACGAGGCCTCGGGACTGCAGACGCAGCAGACGCAGGCGCAGACGCGCAGATGCATCAATTAAGAGGGCGGTACCAAGGCGGTAACGGGAACTTCGATGGCGAACATTGCAGCGCAACGTTCAAGTTGCCCATACCACTACGCTACTCCGCATGAAGACTGAATCAAGCCGCTATGAGCCTCCAGGTACCTGGGCAATCAGCAATGGGAAATCAGCATTGTGCTTGAGGGGTGGGTGGTAAGGCATGGTAAAGGGGAAACAGCTGGTTGTGCCGGCGCCACTCAACGACACTAGGCCGAATGAGTGTCTCCTTCAAAGGGTTCATCACCCAAAATGTCACCCAACACACGAATTTTCCGGGCTAAAGAGAGAGACAAGAGCGAAAACCTCCGGGATCTTGAACAACGCTGTGTCGAAGGGAGACGGGAAGCTGGTTCGTTGGCGACACAAAAGCAAGCCGTTGGTGGACGGCAAGAGTAATTCGTCGTGGGTTGACGGCGAGGCGCTGGCTCATCTCCCATTTATAACCGTCCGGTCTTTTTCGTCGGTACGGATTGCGCCTCAAACCAGAGTCCAGCACAGGAGCGCGAACCACTGCATCACCGGGCTACGGTGTGGTGGTGCTGGTGCTTGATGGTGTTCGCCGGTGCTGTTGCTGGTGGTCTCCGGGCCATCCCATCGCATGCTCTTGTACCCACACATCCATGCCATGCCGTCAACTTTCAAGCATCCTTCCCCTCGTTCCCTCTTCATTCACGCCCCCTATTCCCCTGGACCCCTGACCCTGAGCCCCTGGGCCCAGAGAATTTAGCAGGCGTACGGAGTACAGATGCAGAGTACACCGGACTACCATGACCAAGAGAGGAGGACAGACCACCAAAATGGCACGGGCACAGGCTTAGGCTTAGGCACGGGCACGGGCACAGGCACAGCTCAGGAAGAGGCAGGGCAGGAGACATGTTGTCAGCGGGCCAGCTACGCCAGGCTGGATGAGGGCTGTGGTGGTGGTGTCTACGGATACTGCTACATACTGCTGCCATGTCGCCGTGGTGGTGGATGGACTGAACGGAATGGAACGGTGGTCTGGCTTGATTGAGTCTTGACTTCGCGTGAAGCTCTGCATCAAGTCCACTCTTCCTAGCAACTATTGCATGGTCTCTCCACCCGACTAATAAAAATAGGCCATGGGACTGGGTTGGATGTTGGGACCAGGGAAAGGCAATGTGCGTCGAGAAAACCGAAGAGCACACCGGACGAAACCAGACCTGATCAGACCTGACCTGACCAGGTCTGGAGCTTGAAGCCTGAAAGCCGAGCCTAAAGCTTGAGAGAGGAAGAGACGGACGGATTGGAGAAGAAGACGAGGAGAGTCAGACGAACGAACGACTTGACTTGGTGAAGACGCGTGAGAGGCCCCTGTCCATCATCCACCGTCCATCATCCGTATCCACATCCACACTTCTCCCCTCCCCCCCCGTTCTCTTCCCGATGTCCCCTGCTGCTCGGCCTGCCTTAGCTGACCTTGCCGGCTGCTGATGGATACTTTGTATTCGTACCCTTCGTCTCTTCCCTGTCTAGGTAGCTAGGTTTGTTACCTGGGTGGGTTGGTACGGATACCTTAGACTTACTTACTGATCGGATCGCCTCCTCCTCCTTTCCACATTCCCACACACTCGCTCCAACCTCCCGTCGTCTCCTTCGCCGACCCTCGTTGTTGCTGTCATCATTTACTGCATATCCCTTCGTGTCCGTCCCACGACTCGAAATTTTGTCCTTTCATTCGTTCTTCTTATCCTAATACCCCCATTTTCATCCACATCCCCCAGTTCACGCCCGCTTGCTTACTTGCTTGTCGTCGTCTCTGGCCTTGTATTCCTTCCCGGTCTAGGCCCATCTCACCTCGTTGCATCTTCTTTTTGCGTCCGGATAAAAAAAGTTTGAATGAGATCATACACCTCTTGATTTCACGCCCTGGCATCATATCGCATCGCATCGCATCGCATCGCACCGGACACGCTCTACGGTACGCAGTATAGACTAATATCTCGTCTCCTCTCGCCTTGTCGCTTCGACGACTCCTCTCGTCTCCTCTCGCAATCGCCTCGCCTCTCCTCGCCTCGCCTGGCTTGTTGGACAGAAACTCCCTTTGGTAAGTCAGCGGTCCATTCCTCTCGTCATTCCTCATTCCACAACCTTCAACCCTTCGAACCAATGCCTATACATATTTGCGATTTCCCCTCCCCCCCCCCTCCCCCCCTTCGATGCGCGATATTTGATGACGGCGCGCCCGCGGCAATATCCAAGTATTGTTGGGCCTGGTCCATCGCTAAGGCTGTTGGCGGCTACCCTGCCGGAATACCTTCATTCCCCGTCTTCTGGGTCCACGGTTGGCTACATGGCCAATTCGCATACACTCTCACAATATCTTGCCTTACCCGGACACGCACAAGAACAGAGACCCCAGACGAGCAAAAGACACAACACAACATACACACCACGACCACCTTTGCACTCGCAGCTGACACTGGATTTCTTCCGCCTACACAGCATCGCTTCGCTTACCTTACCACGCCATATTGTATCACGCTCCGCAGCGCCCACTGACACGAGCCACAACAAAGCTGTCCCGAGTCTCAGCTCTACTTTCGTCATCCCACATCGGCCGACCCGCCTCGTATCGTATTTTTTTTTTGCGGTCCCGACATTGAGGCAAAGCGCGAACCACCCCCGAGCGTTAATTATCACCGGTTCTCCGTCCTTTGTTCCAGCACTGCCGCGTGTAGATGCGCGCCGATTAAATCCCGCCGGGAATCATCGATTTGCCGTTAATCCATATGCCTAGATTCTCAGTCGCTTTTGGAAGGCGGCGATCGACCGTCAACTCGGAGGAGTTCCTCCAGAATGGGCCGGTAGCAACGGGGGATCAGCAACAACAGCAATCCTCCTTCCGCGTGTTGGAGAGAACAGAGGTTGGGGGCAACAAGTCGTTTGACGGAGGACACAGGCTGCTCAAGGCCGCGACGACAGCTATTCCACCCAAGTACGACCTGTCTTTGGAGGACAACATGTTTGCAGACGTGAAAAACAATCGGTATGTGCATCCGCCTCCTTTCCTTGCCTCATTCCATTTTCCTCCCCCCTCAAACACACATTCTCGGCCTTGCAGAGGAGCAACAAGGCGTGGGAGAGCACAGAAAGGAGACTGGTCCAAGAGAAAGCCGAAAAAAAAAAAAAAAGCAGAAGCAAAGAGTGGGAAAGGAAGGGGAGAAAAAAAAAACTTGGCTGGCATGCATTCAATAGCGGCATGTCTCGGACTCAGCGGTGTATCTCACTACTAGCCGGTGGTCCTCTCTCTCTCTCTCTCTCTCTCTCTCTCTCTCTCTATCCCCCCCCCCTTGTCTGCAATTCATTTCAGGGCCAAGGCAAGGATTGTGTCTAACGTCGACTGACTCAGCTTAAGGGGAAGTGGGTCATCTAATACCACGAAAACAACCTCGACAGATACTTCTTCGCGCCACAGCAACGTCTCGACCACACCGTCTTCGGCTGACCTCGGTGCCCAAGGGCCTCAGGAAGAATGGAGAAACTCGATTAAGAAATCTCATACCGACCTGCCAGCTCCCAAGCACAGTTCTGGCGGATTCCTCAGCAAAGCCGGCAGGACCTTTTCCTTTGGCGGTCAGAAGAAGAACCAAGCCTCCGTCTCTTCCGTTGACGACCATCCTCTGCCTCCGCCGCCCTTGCCCACCCAGGCCTCGGAGGACGACCTCAGCCGCAGACCGAGAGGCCTGACATCCTCCACGGCCAGCACGGCCACGCCTCCAAAGCTCAGCGAGGAGGAATTCAACCTTAACCTCGGCGGTGATTTTGGTAACATGTTCAAGGGGTCTGGATTTGACAAGAGAGCTAGCCAAATGACGCTTCAAGGCAACGACAAGTCCAATCTGGGACCTCGCTCCCTAACCTCCAACAGAGTCAATCAACCTCAACCCTCCCCCATCAAGATTGATAAGTCCATCAAAGTCGAGGCCTCGCCCTATTCATGGAGCAGCCAACACTCCAACGACAACCTGCTTCACGACGACAACATGTTCCGATCTGGCCCCGGATCTCCCACCAACACTGACCGCACAACTGTACCGCCACCAGTGCCCCGTCACGCCTCGCCGCTGGCCTTCCGTAATAACGTACCATCTGACATCGTCGAAGATGAGGATGCGAAGTTGCTGAAGGACTCGATTAATGCCAGCCGATTCCTCGGCAACCACCAACCCAGCAACCCGTCTCCGCCGGGAAGATTCCGCAGAAACGAGGACACATTCTCAACAGGGTGGGATGATGCAGGTAGCAAAAGGGAGGAGGAAAACATGTTTGAAAACACCGCGACCCGCCCACCGAAGCCTACGCACCACTACAGCTCCGGCAGTGGTAGCAACCCGAGCCCCCCTCGAAACAAAGTCATGACTCCCGCCGAGTTCGAGAAGTATCGAAAAGACAAAGAACGCCGCGACAGCACCAGCGAGACGGTGAAGGCATCGAACGAGAGCCGAGATGACGACGACGACCAGTACGAGGACGACGAGGATGACATTGAAAAGGCAAAGCTGGCTGCTAAGCAGAGGAGGAAGCAAGAGGCACACATGGCAGTTTACCGACAGCAGATGATGAAGGTGACGGGCGAACAGCCGAACCTACCGTCAGAGCATACTGCCCGGCCCAGCCTGCCCATGTCTCTCAGCACGCCCAACCTAGCCGTGCCGCCCGGCCCTCTCACCGGCAAATCGGACGGCTCGGAAGAGGAGGACGAGGGAATTCCGCTTGCCATTCTCGCCGCACACGGCTTCCCGAACAAGAACAAGCCGCCGGCACGTCTTATGAACATGGCTTCGAACCCTGATCTGCGATCCTCCATGCAGTCACAATCCGCTCAACCTCAGCGGCCGGGGTCAAGTATGGGTGAAGGTGCCGGTGCAAGGGGGTCTGGCGGCCATCTTCCTGCTTTTGCTCGGAAGCTGCCCCAGGACCCGTTCCTTGGTGCCGGTCTCATCAACGCCCCTCCGCGCGAGTCGTTGACTTTCGGCGGCGGCTCACCACTGCCAGGTGCTGCTCCTCCAGCCGTGCCCATGGGTGGTCTCGTCGGTGTCATCGCCAGCGAAGAGCGCTCCAGAGCCATGCGCAGAGGCAGCCCCAACATTGAGGCGCAGAACGTCAATCCTTTCACCGGTGCCCCGGTCGACCCTGCTGCGGGACTTCCGCCGCAGATGATGTACAGCAACATGAACGGCATGAATGGCGGAATGAACAACGGCATGAACGGTATGAATGGCGGCATGGGTGGTATGGGACAGATGGGCGGTATGGGTGGTATGGGCGGCATGCCCCAGATGCCTCAAATGCCTCAGATGCCCCAGATGCCCCAGATGATGCTCACCCCAGGAGACCAGGCGCAGATCCAGATGACCCAGCAGATGCAGCAATTCATGCAGATGCAGATGCAGTTCATGCAGATGATGGCCACGCCAAACCAGCAAAACATGAACATGAACATGAACAATGGTATGGCAAGGCCGATGAGCCACGTGATGACGCCGTCGATCAACGACAGCCAGCGGCAGTCATTCTTCGGCGACTCGATGCTGGAGCCGCCCCAACTCGACTCTCGTTCGAGAACTATGAGCATGGTCCAGCCCAGCTCGGCCTCGTGGATCCAGCCCGTCGGCGGGTACACACCGTCCATCCATGGAGGCATGGGCGGCGGCGGTTACGCGCCCAGCATCCACGCGCAAGGCGCCGGGTATGCCCCCTCGATCGCACCCTCGGAGCGAAGCAACGTGGGCTTACCAGGGCGTTACAGACCAGTGACGCACGCTCCCCAACCCTTGGACTCGGGCCGGCGAATGTCAGTCATGTCAGGCGCCGCGGGATGGGATGAGGCGCCCAAGGTTATGCAGCAGGAGAACAAGATGGCATCGCAGAAGTCGGGCAACCCCTCGGACGACGACGATGAGGAGGGATGGGCGGCGATGAAGGCCAAGAAGGAGAAGAAGCGGTCTCTGTGGAAGACGAAGAAGAGTATCGGCAGCGAGATCGGTGCATTGATCTCCTAAACAACCGAGATGAAAATGTGGAAGGAAACGGGTCTCCCCTTGGGGCATGGAAAAACAAAAAGACTGGACATATAAGACGCAAGCGCACACCACGCAACTCATATAGGGGTGTGTTTGGGTCTTTCCCTCGGGTTTGAGTCTCGAGAAAAACACCCTACCTGTGTATAACTTTTGGACATCATCGTTTTCAGGCGTTGTTGCGGGAGTGAAAGAGCAGATGGAACGGCTTGGATTGTTGATTACTCAAAGTCATGATAGACAGCTCTTGGTGCAATAATCTACTAATGTTGGAGAAGAAAAACACGTTTGGTTCAAGATGGACGTCCTGTGTTCGCCTTTTTCATGCGTTTCTGACGAGCCATGTTCTGCTCCACGTCACCTTGGCACCCAAGGGAGGTGAGGTAAACAATATTCCTATCTTGGTAGGGAGTATCTTCGGGTTCATTTCTAATCATGAATATACCCTTTTTCTGAGTTTTTGTTATCTTTTGGTCTTTCACTTCGTCGGTATGAGACTGGCCGTCACCATCTACGTGTGAAGTTTCTGCGCGGTTTCTCCGTTCAAGGCATGGTCGATTTATTCAATCTTGCCAGCGGCCCAAGCCTTGCGCTTGACGCCCAGCTCGACGGCGGCGAGACCCCAGTCCTCGCCGTGGTTGTGGCCGCTCGCGGTGATACCGGCCCGGGCTTGGGCCTGATCATCGTTCAGCACAGTGAGAACGCCAAAGATGACTGGGACGCCCGTGTCGAGCTGGACACGCATCAGGCCGTGGGAGACGGCATCGGCGATGTATTCGAAGTGCATGGTTTCGCCCTTGATCAGGACACCGACGGCAATGATGGCGTCGAAGGGGCCGCCCGAGGACTCGGTAGGGAGGGAGGTCAGGTCCGTGGTCGAGGCGCCGAGGAGGTCGCCGGCGGAGGAGCCGGAGCCGGCTTGGGCGGACTGAACCTGAGAAGCGGAGAATAGTCTTGCGCGCGAGAGAAGTTCGTCAGCTGGAGTAGTCTTTCTCGGAGGAGGGCTTTTCGGTTCGCCGAAGAAGAAGAGCACCTGGCGCAATAGCTGGAAGAGGGGTCGGTCGGTCCGGCTTACCTTTGGACGGCGAAGGGGAGCTCCCAGGATCCCGGAACGGACTGGACGACAATGTTGGACTCCTTGACACCGCAGCCGAGAAGCTTGTCCTTGGCGCCCTTGACGAGGGGCTCGATGATGGTCGCGTTCCAGCGGGCATGGACGATGCCGATGCGCAGGCCGCTGCCTTCGTGCTCTTGCGGGGTAGGTCCCTTGATGCCAGACATGTTGATCGCGGAGAGGGGTATTTAAGAATTGGTTCGATCGGATATCGGTGTGTAAGTCGCGAATTCACTGGTCGTGTACGTGGCTAAAGGGATAGCGAGGTATAGGTTGACAGGCAGGTCGATAGCTTTGGTGGGGTGGAGGTTGCGAAAGGGAGGGGTGGCAGCTGGGAGCTTCCGTCTGGTTGCTTATGAATTGGTGGCAGGGCAGGACGGGCTGACGCTCAGGAACGACGGGAGACGAGGGGACAGGGCCCTGAGATGTGCGATGCGGGGCATGCGGTCTGAGGTCTTATGTGCCTGGGAAGAGAGAGAGGGGGTAGCTCCTATAAAAAAGCCTAGGGTAGCTTCTATAAAAAAGTATACTATTTAAACTTCTTTATTATTATATTAATTAGGCTAAAACTCTACTTTATATATTATTTACCTTATTATTATTACTATATAGCTATTTCCCCCCCTATATTTTATTATAACCTTTAGGATTTATTTCCCCTTTGTTACAACCCGTTGGGCTTAGCTACCAACACAACCCCGCCAGGCTCTCAGCAGCTAACGTGGATATATATAACCTAGTGACATAAGGACGGTTAGGGATCCTCAAAAGGGAAGAACTATAGTATAAGTTATATAACGATAAGATAAGGATCATTTAGGATCAAAATGATCTAAATAGACTTAGGGGCTAAATAATTATTCTCAATTAGAATGATCTAGCTCAACCTAAGGTATAAAGAGTATATACTAGGAAAAGGACTTATATATAGGATGGACTTAAGCTTAGCTTAAGGATAAACTTCTATAGCTCTTTAGTAATTAACTTATAATTATTACTTATAATACTTTTAGCTATACCTAAGTGATAATTACTCTATAACTCTTATTAAGGCCTTAACTAATCACTAAGACCTTTAAAGACCTATAATTACTTAAATAGCCCTATAGAACGACTTAATACTATTTATAGTTCTTAATCCCTAACTTACTATTAATATAAACCCACTATTAGTTAGCTAGCTATAACACTTTAATTACTCCTATTTAATAAGTTACCCTTTAAAAACTACTAATAGTATTATAATATCTTTATAACTCTCTAGAAAGACCCCTAGCACTAGATCCTCCTCTGGCGCTAGGAAGGCCCCCATTAA